GAATCCAGGTGCCTCACCATCAACATCTGGATGGGAGGGAAGGGAGATGTTGCCCTGAGATCCACAGGACAGAGCTGCAGAGCTCTGAGTCTGTGTGCACAGGATTCCGTTTTTCCCTCAGAGCCTAGCTGATGACATGGAGTAGTGAAATCAATCAACCCAGTAGAGATTCCTCTAACATTGCATGGAGGAGGAGGTCACTCAGGTCAGGTCCACTGGGTTTATAAGAGGAAGGAAATGAGGAACAAAGCTAGTGCTTTGTTCATTGAGAAATTAGAGATTTGTGGGCAGGAGATCCATATAGTGAGATAGAGCCTAGCAATGTGCTAGAGTGTGGAAAGGGCAAGAGGAGCTATAAATCCTTGATTTCCAATTTGGATTCTGTAGAGCCTGGGATGTTAAAGAGTGTAGTAGGAATCTCTTGTCCCACTAGGTCTTACCACCCTTCACATTCAAATAAACACACAAAGACTTATATTAATTATAAAATTGTTGGCCGATGGCTAGGGCTCTTTATTGGCTAGCTCTGTCTTAATTATCAACCCATTTCTATAAATCTATGTATTACTATGTGGTCTTGCCTTAACGGAGAATGCCTGGACCTGTTACTCCTTTAGCAACTACATGGCATCTCCTGGAGGTCCCTCTCTGCCTACCTTTCCCAGAATTCTCCTCATCACCTAGTCCCTCCTATCTTCCTGCCTCTACTGGCTATTGGCCAAACAGTGTTTTATTCATCAACAATAAGAGAAGCATGTTTACAGAAAGGCAACCCCCATTAAAAGAGAGTGAAATAAATGTTTTAGATAGCTCAGTGCAAAAAAGACAGGAAGGCAGAAAGAGAATGGATATTAGGCTTCATTACTGCAACAATTGAGTCATAAAAGTGGACAGTTGAGCTGTATAACTTTTGGAGACCAGCAAGGGGCAAAAATAGACATGTTCAACAAGGACAGACAAGGAAGACATAAGAAGGAGGCCCCAGGCCAGGAAGGTTGGACAGGGAAAGTCTCAAATCAGGAAAGATATTTATTTACCTCTCCTTTGAGCCCTTACTGGGGAGGGGTCAAATAAGACACATGTGAATTCTGCGGCTGTATGCGACAGTGGAGGGACAAAGCCTCTTGGAATGGATAAAGTCAGTGGAGGCCCTGCATAAGCCAAGTCATAGAAGAGGAAGTGAAGGTGAAGAGAGTTACTCAAGGACAACAGGGAACAGAAGTGACACTCTCCTAATATGGAACAGTGGTGATAAACAGCTTCCTGGCAAACTTCAGGCATTCTTTCTTTTTTCCCTCCTGAATGATGCTAGAGACAGACAAACTCTGCTTGTGTCCCTTCATCTCCTAAGCACACAGACCACCCCGAGACAGGCACCTTTGCTACTCAGGCAAGCACAGTCAAGTGACTTGTTTTGTGTCTGCCCTATAGTCGCATACTGGTGAACCCAGCATTTTCACACCTAGGGTAGCAGGCTGGTGTGGAGCAGGCCCCACAGCTTTGAGAGAATTCTGCCCCTGTATGAGCTAATCCTGCAGCCTGCCTTGGCATTGGGACTGGATTGGGTGGGCCTGTAAATGAGGGCTGTCTCCAGACAGCACAGGAAATGCTGAAGGACAAGGCTAGCCCTATCAGAATAGGATATCCAAAGAAGTGGGTTAGCAACAGACAAGAAGATGGTTGTGTTGTTTTTGAGGAAACGTCCAGCCGCCCACTGTGCTTGAAGCGTTCACTTGTGTGGTGTGTGTGTGTATGTATGTATGTATGTATGTATTTGTATGTATGTACAGTTGTGTTCCCGAGTATCTGTGCAACAGCCATTATGGAGATGTCAGCTGTCCAGAGTGAGCTCTCTCCTTCCATTATGTGGGTACCCTTGATGACTTCTTCAGCAACAGGGAGTGGGCTAGGTATACAGTGCCAGCCATACAGGGGACTTAAAGCATAATTAATTGGTTATTTCCAGATGTAAGTGCCACTATTGCATGTTTTGGGATAACTTGCCATTTGACCCCATATTAAATATGGTGAATAAATAAGTAAAGACTTTGTCACAGGCACACAGTCAGCACACAGCAGCTCCCTAGGAGAGCAGAGGCAGTTATAGACACCCACACATTATATATGTCACTTGGTGGTATATTCCCAGGCAAGAATCCATTTTTCCTAGTACACAGATCAAATTTTGCTAGCATGCTTTGTTTTTAATTTTTCAAGTCATTTGTTTTGCAATGGTACAGAATTACCTTTTTCCCCCAAGCAAATCTTTTCCAGTTAATGCTGGAATATTCTAGCAAATGTCCTCTGTGCCTGTGTTGCCCTTTTATCACAAACATGCATGCATGGGGAAAAGATAATTCCTTCATTATATAAAAATTGTTTCTCTGCCTTAATCTCTCAAGCGACAATAAGATAAAATATTTCTTCTCTGTCCTAACTGTTTTTGTTTGTTTGTTTGTTTGTTTTTGTTCACATGGTTTCCTCCCACTAATTTCCAATCAATGCCTCAGAACTGAAATGTATTTCTCACATGGGAGCTTTCTATGCATATCCAAACATTCTCGTCTATCATAGTACTAAAGGGCAGCAGAATAGCTGGCTGCAGGTAAGCTAGCTCACTGTAGAAACTGGAGCTCTGTCTACAGCTCCTGCCTGATGATGAGACAAACAGCTTTGGTTGCTCTCTCCTTGCAGCAAAAAACAAAAATGTGCAAATGGAAATACAATCAACTCAGAATAGAAGATGGAGAGGATGGATGAGAAGATACGCCCATATCTCAAAATACATCACTAAATGCCACCCCATTGTCTTGACAGTCAGATATATTGATCTGAAAGGTTATAAAACTGCCTAGGGGTGCAGTTCAGTTGGTAGAGTGCTTGCCTATCATGCACAAGGCTCCAGGTCCTATTCAGCACAGCATAAAATAGGCATGGTGGCACATACTTGTAATCCCAGTACTTGAGGGTTGGGGACAGCAGGATCAACCTTGATTACACTGTGATTTCAAGGCTAGCCTGGAACTCTGTCTAAAAAGGTAGTCACTTGGGTAGGGTTGGAAACAGAGTGTACAGTGGGTCCCATGGACATACCTGTAATAATTCTGTAGAACATGCAGGAATATGACTTAAACTAGATCGCTCTATCTAAGCTTTAGAGTCCCACAAATGTGCAGTGAGAGCTCTCATTAGCATCCAGTTTTCTTATTAGCTGCATATACAAACATGCCCCCTTGCTTCTACTACTAGAAAAGATAATTAAAGCCAGGAATCACAGAGCACAGACACACTAGTCTGAGACCATGAAGCCACCAACACCCTAAATGCTGCATCTCACCTCATCCTAGGTCATCCTAGGATGTGTCATACTAGGTACCACAAGGATAGGTTGATTTTTAAAAGGCATCTACAACCACTGCTTTACCCCAGAGTGCAGTTTCAAGGCCACTTCATTTTTCCTTCTTCTGAAACTGCTGTCTCTGTCCTTTAGTCCTTGTCATCAGTTGGTGCATCCAATGCTTACCATCCTGGGCACCCACGAGACTCCTAGGCTTCCCAGCTGAAACGCAAGGTTTCCCCTCAGTCTCTTCTGTTGACGCTGTGTTGGGATCCATTCAGAACCTCATACAGATAGGCATAAAGTGATAAGGGTGGAAGCACACCAGTGATGAGCTTGTGAATAAAAGTTACTTCAACTATCCATAATTATGCATGAATTTCACATTCATTTTCCCCTCCTTTAGAAACCTTTCCTTTAAAGGACAAAACTTCACTTTTATGAAACTAAATAGACGTTGGTGAATGACCCAAGTTAGATTGTTTCCAGTCATCTGAAAACCCTGTAACAGCTTCATACATCTTGAAAACTTCTTCCAATTAAGCACAGCATAACCACTCAGAATAAAAGCTGGGAAATCTATAGATTTGAGCCTCAAATTATGAAAATTTTCCCTCATTTGCATACCTATTATTCTTAAGGAAAAAAATAATGTGACCAGTTTACATATTCTAAATATATGCTGAGAATCAGAGCTTTAAAAAATGTTGCTTGCTTAGAAAAAATACATAAATTTGTTAAATGCTGTCCTTTTTATCCTGTTTCATGTTGGATTAATGTACATTTAATGCTAAGCCATCCATTTCTCAAGGTAGACTGCAATGGACAAAACTTGACCTAAATAATATTATTTACTCCTGGAAACACATAGAACCACCCACTGTTGCTGAAAAACTGGAAAGGAACAGAATTTCACAGATCTATGCTGCTTCATTTAAATTTAGACTTACCTTATTTCATGCAAGAAAAAAAAATGAAATTTCAATGTGTACTTTCCCGAGTAGCCACCACGCAGAAAGATCATGAGGTCCACATGTTAGCAGATTTCATAAACACTTAGCAAACATAGATCACTGTGAGTGAAAGGTCAGACTCTGGTAAAGGGACCCCCTCTGTCTCCTAACCAAATGGAACACATTACATCTGATCTATGCTGGTGTTTCTGCTTTGGGTGAGGGTTTGGTGCCTTTGGTATGGGTCACAAATGCAAATACCCATGTTTTGTTTGGTTTTGTTTTTGTTTTCCTGTGGAGAAAGCAGGCTGTAACCAGCCCACATGTTTGTGCACCCTTCCCCTCCGGGTCGTCCTTGCAAAGGGCTTAGTGCCATCTAGTGTCCAACCGAGGTATGAGACGTGGGAAAGCTGGGTAAGCAACTGTATTTCTCTGCACACTGCAGTGAGTGACCTACTGGGTCGTGGCGTTCTTTTCCTACAAACTGGGTCCTGAAAACGTTAGCTTCTGCTCAAATCCACTGTTTCTCAAGAGTGCTTCAAATTAAATATTTTTCGTTCGTATAGGACAGCGCCCAACACCATTAGCTCTCACTTCAGATTCTCATAATGGCGTTCTTTGCATTTTAAGCTGCCAGTATTGTCAACCACACTCTCTCCAAGCTCTCTCCTGACCTGTGTGAAACTGACGAGTCTCCCCTTGCTTTTCAGATTGTCTACAAAGCCTGGCTCTGCTCCCAGTACTTTGAAGTCACACAGTTTAACTGCAGAAAGACAATTCCATGCAAGCAATATTGTTTGGAGGTGCAGACCAGGTGTCCGTTCATATTGCCCGACAATGACGAAGTCATCTACGGAGGCCTCTCCAGCTTCATCTGCACAGGTATGGCAGGGCAGGGACCTTGCGGCTCCATTTGTTTGTTGCTTCCTTTGCTCACATAAGCTGTAGTCTTCACAAAGGTACTTTTTACACAGTCTCTCTTCTGGAAGCACGGAAAAGCATTCCTAACTGACTTAGACAAGAATTAACACCTCCACCACACATCTACAACCAACTGTGGCTCTCTGTGGATGTCCCCACACTGATAACTGCAGGGTGGGGGTTGTTATTAGGGCTCCTGTGTGTTTGTGATGAATTTTGACACCTTATCCTAATTGGTATCGAGAACAAAAAGAAATGTCTAAGTCATGCATGTATACATTAGTGCATAAGAGCCCCCAGGTGATTTCTATATTTATGACACTATATAGCTCTACTTCTTTTGAAAATAAAACCAAAAAAACCTCAGACCAGGCAGGATGCCAACACCAGCACCTGTCTCCATAAACCCAGAAGCGTTATGTAGTTTAGGCAGCCATGGAATACAAAGTTAAAGTTAAGAGCAGTCTCGTTCCGAAACAGCTTGTCAGTGAGAACCACACCCTTACTAGAGTACTATGCTCACAGAGTTCTTTATATCCTCTTAGATGAGGAGGAAGACCCAATTTTTTAAACTATTTGACTTGATGCATAGCATGTTTAACATAAGAATAAAAAATAAGTCTGGGGAAACTAGAAAGTTTTCTGTGTATAGTGGGCTTACAATCATTCTATTCAACAGTGGAAGGAAGAGAAAGATGGCTGCTATGTGAGTGAAGATATCTGCTTCTGGTTCTAACTACCTGAAATTCAGACTCTGGGGCCCAGATGTTAGGAGAGAATACACCCCTTCAAATTGTCCTCTGACCTCATGCATGCAGGCACATACACAAGATTAATTTAACAATAAACAAGTATAATTTTTAAAAAAGTAAGGTCCAGAAAGAAGGCTCAGAGGTTAAGAGCACTTGTTCTTGCAGAGGACATGGAGTTGGTTCCCAGCACCCACATGGTAGTTCACAGCCATCTGTAACTCCAGTGCCAGGGGATCCAATGCCCCTTCAGACCCCTGCAGGATCAGGCATGCATATAATACACAAATGTACATGAAGGGAAAATACTAATATATACAAAATAAAGTAAATATAATAAAATAAACAATGACAAGTTGAAATGCTCATTGTGACAGCATATCAGATGGTTTCCAAGTCACCACTGTTCAGGGTAACTAACCACCAAGATACAATCAGTGCCCCTAAAGCCTGCCCTGGCTGGCAGAAGGGTACTTATCCCATCACACAACCTAGCTTTTCACTGATGAACCATGGTAACTGTCCACAGCCCGGACATTACACTTGCTAAAATGATGCAGATATGGAAGATATACAGGCTTGGCAATAATAAACAAGAAGAGAGAAGGAGGTAGAGGGAGGATGAGGAGGATGAAGAGGGGGAAAAGGCAGAGAAGAGGGAGGAATTAAGAATGGTGGAGAGAAAGAAGGGTGAGAAGGGACAGACAGAGAGAAAAGGCAGCAAACAAAAGAAGGGAGGAAAGAGGGAAGGAATTATCAAAGAAAGAATATCTTGTTTTCTGGTAGGGTTGGGAGGGGGAATCACCAGAAATAGGCTTTAACTTATATTGGCTTTCCCACAGAATTTTCCATAAATTACCATAAAAATTGATAGCCTACATTCTAAAATTCTGTCCAAGGGACACTCAAGGAATCTGGACTTCTTTGAATGTCTTAGTTCCTTCCCTCATAGTGTGCAGTCCTCTCTGGGCTGCTCAGTGGGTCCCACCAGGGACTCATGAAGACAAAAGCCCCAAGGAAGGTTTGAGGTTCATCTCCTGGCCTCTGTCTGTGTTTGTTGAGTTGTTTTCTCTGGACAATTTCGGACAATTGGGATGCAAAAGCAGATCCAGCTATCTTCTGTGCCAAAAAGTCTGGTGTACAGCTTGCATTTTTAGTTGTTTGGAGTTTTATAAAATCTGTTGGTCTGTAGCTGCAGCAACATCCCTAAGGTAAGATGACAAAAGGAGAAATCTGTCACTGGCCCAGAAGATAAACCCAGCTCTCTGGAGGCCTTCAGAGTTGCCTGGTGTTGAGCACTGGGAGGCCTCTCTGCTGTTTGCTTTCTGTAGGTTCTGTGACCCTTGCAGTTACTGAGCTCAGAACACTACATTTAGTTTTTACAGCTCACCACTCTGAAAGTGTGAACTCATACACACACCAGGAAGAATCATGCTCTTTTCTGAGGGTGGGACAGGGCATTGGGGGAAATAAAGCTCCACCATCTAAGTCAGAACTGCTGTTCTTTCATTCTAGCTTATGAAAACAAAAGTGGCAACTCAGGTTATTTCCACAGTGGGCACCAAAAGCTGTAATCCCTGGATCAGTTTTCAAAGAATCTAAGGCAGTGGTTCACAATATATTATGATTCAAAACAGTAGCAAAATCACAGTTATGAAGTAGCAACAAAAACAAAGTTATGATTTGAGGCCATCACAGCATGAGGGACTACATTCAGGGGTCATGGCATGAGGAAGGTTGACCACCACTGCTCCAAGGTCTGTTCACAAAATGATGCTCAAACCTGGCACTCTTGTTAAGATAAGAACCTGAGTCTAGACCCTAGGGAGAACCTAGTACTATCACTCTGATAGGTAGACATGTGTCCGAGTGAATCCAAATGAATTATCCATGTAGCCAAGAACTAGTGCATCTCAGTCCTCAGCAGCTAAACTTCTGTTTGCAGACAATGGTGAATAACGCAGATACCTACAACCAGTCCAGGTACAGAAAATAAGAGACTAGATACGACATCTGCATCACATCTCCTCTTTCCAGGGCTCAGGGATTATTGCAGAAGAGGCAGACAGATTTTAAGAGTCAGTTGGTATATGACTCGGGAGTGTCTGGGCTCATAGAATGGAAATTGTACATATTAACTCAGATTTGTCACAATGTGCACAAAAACCATGTATGCTCAAACCAAGCAAAACCAGAGTGTGTGGAGCAGGGGAGGGGAGCACAAAGTCTTGCCCGTGGCTGAGGAACTGGTGGCAGTGGTTGAGCCAGTTTTCTTTAGAGTGTGTCCCTGATTAGCTGACCATACTCCAGTGGAAAGTCAGGCACCGAAGAATCTATGAGCAGCAGAAATTGAAATTGATTAGTTTATTTTAAAGGGGGAGGCAAAGCTGGGTGGATAGGGAGAAGAAATATTTAGGAGGAGCTGGTGGAGGGAGTTGATGTGATCAGAATATATTGGTAAAATTCTCAAATAATGTAAAACTGAAAGGAAAAAAAAACAAGAGGGGGGAAAGGATACTAATAGCATCTCTTCAAGTTCGACAAATTTAATGAAAGTGGGTTTTTTTGTTGTTGTTTGTTTGTTTGTTTTTGCGGTTTATATGAGGGTAGAGAACTCCTCCACAACACTGAGAACTAACTACGTATGGCCCTTGCCAGGTGCTTCAGAGGAGCCAGTTCTGTCCAGGGGTGTGGTCATCCAGACTTCTGTGGGAGCCTTCATTTCCCCAAGACATGAGTGATTACTTCTGACTCCTTTAGCCACAAATGGTACATCTCAGGCAGGTGTGGAGCTGGTAAAATTCTGGTAGTTTCAAAACACAGATTTTCTCAAAACAACTATGAAGTCAAAGTTATAGTTGAATTGATTTAGAATTCAATTCAACATTTCACCACATTGCTTCTTTTGCTTATGTTTTTGAGGTATTGTCTTCTGTAGCCCAGGCTAGCTTTGAGCTCCTTATGGAACTGAGGGTAACCTTGACCACCTAATCCTTCTGCCTCTATCTCCCAAAGTAATGAAATGGCTGGTTCAACACTATGCTTGCTTGACAAAGCCCTGGGAATCAAACACAAAGCCTGGAACATGCTAAGACACCTGAATCTCATCCCCAGCCCTCATGCAGGTCACTTGAGCGGCTGCCTCCCTGCCTGTCACTTGTGCATCTTTTTATTTTTTTATTTTTATTTATTCATTTTTTTTGGTGGTTCTTACAAAACTTAGCGATTTCTTGAACTTTCACTATCAGATGTAATGCTCTAATGATCAACAGAATAACCTGACTCTAATCAAGTCAGAGACTTAATAAAGAGCCGAGCATGCCCTTCTATTATGTCAAATTGTCCACCTCTGAGTGCTGTGCACCAACGTTCTGGCCACGGATCTAGACCACACAAAGGCTTCTGCCTGTGTTTAATTCTGCTTTGGGATAGAAAAAACAAAAACAAAAACAAATAATGGTGGCGATGAACTGAGATGCCTCTTGCCTCTTGGTTTTTCCATTGAATAACAGAACTGACATGATGGGAGGAATGCTTGAGAAGTAATTAGGGAGGAGTTCCGGGGTGTTGTCAGGGCAGACTGTCAGTCAGTGCTGGGGTGGTTGAGTCACAGCTACCCGAGGTGTTTTCTGCTGCAGGCCCCCGTCACAGGCTGCTGTGTTACAACACGGAGGGTTTCCATCTGAAGAGCAGGGGTGGAAACCAAGGTCTCACCACCCAGCCTCCACTGTAGTGATTATGGTGTTTCCCTCTGTGCCCTCCCGCACCGGGTCCAAGGCTCCCAGAGCGATCCTTGACTGCTTACCGGTAATAGGGAGCTGAGATTCAGGAGACAGAAACAGCAGAGTGCCACAGCTGTGGGTGCTATGGTAACAAACATGGGAAATTATTCTTTGATTGATGGATAAAGTGGGCCTGATGTCATTTGCCGCTCCAAATTCGCAAGAACAAAAGTAGAAGTTGGTCCGTTGGGGGTTACTGACAATGAAGATAAAACATATTTTGAGAATTCCGTGTAAATTCTGCATCCCATTCTTTTAGCTGTGACAAGGATAGGGTTATGTTTCTGCCTCTAGGGAAAACACTGTAGGATGCTTTTGTTCCTTCCCTGCCAGGTGGATTAGCTGAGGTGGTGGATGGCGCAGCCTCGCGGCAGGTAAGCGCTACTGCAGGGCACCTGAAACCTTCCTGCACATAGAAAAAGCCAAGCCA